GCTGCCATATGAAACAAAACAGTTTGGCATGAGATAAAAGACATACAACACAGCTGCCATATGAAACAAAACAGTTTGGCATGAAATAAAAGACATACAACACAGCTGCCATATGAAACACACTTGGGTTGAGGTGGGATAAAAGACATACAACACAGCTGCCATATCAGACAAAACATGGGTTGACATGCGATAAAAGACACCCAGCACAGCTACCATATGAAACAAAACATGGGTTGAGGTGGGATAAAAGACACCCAGCACAGCTACCATATGAAATAAAACATGGGTTGAGGTGGGATAAAAGACACCCAACACAGCTACCACATGAAACAAAACATGGGTTGAGGTGGGATAAAAGTCATACAACACAGCTGCTATATGAAACAAACATGGGATTAGGTAGGATAAAAGTCATACAACACAGCTGCCATATGAAACAAAACATGGGTTGACATGGGATAAAAGACATACAACACAGCTGCCATATGAAACAAAACACGTTACCATGAGATAAAAGTCAAACAACACAGCTACCATATGAAACTAAACATGGGTTGAAGTGGGATAAAAGTCATACAACACAGCTGCCATATGAAACAAAACATGGGTTGACATGGGATAAAAGACATGCAACACAGCTGCCATATGAAACAAAACAGGTTGGCATGAGATAAAAGACATACAACACAGCTGCCATATGAAACAAAACATGGGTTGACATGGGATAAAAGACATACAACACAGCTGCCATATGAAACAAAATAGGTTGGCATGAGATAAAAGACATACAACACAGCTGCCATATCAAACAAAACATGGGTTGACATGGGATAAAAGACATACAACACAGCAGCCATATGAAACAAAACAGGTTGTCATGAGATAAAAGACATACAACACAGCTGCCATATGAAACAAAACATGGGTTGACATGGGATAAAGGACATACAACACAGCTGCCATATGAAACAAAACAGTTTGGCATGAGATAAAAGTCATACAACACAGCTGCCATATCAAACAAAACATGGGTTGACATGGGATAAAGGACATACAACACAGCTGCCATATGAAACAAAACAGTTTGGCATGAGATAAAATTCATACAACACAGCTGCCATATGAAACAAAACATGGGTTGACATGGGAATAAAGGA